TCGCTGTTTCATTGCTCGAACCGCTCTTCTCTTCCCACCTTCTCAATCTTTCAAACTGCTGGTTAATGTTCAAACCGCAGGCGCGCCACTTGTACCCCGCGATTCGCCAGCAATTCCCTGGCTTTGCAAAGTATGACGCCGACCTTCCGATGCACAAGGTCCATTGATCTCGGAAAACACAATGTCTGAGCCAACTGATTTTTGCATTCCTTTGAGGTCGGTCAGTCGGCGCTAGACAAGTATGAAAAAATCTATTTGTTGTTATCCAAAGAAAATTTAATTGGTCAAGTTCATTTTGAGAACTATTGTACCCTGAGAGTGAGCTCCCATTAATTGCGCAAAATGCACGCTTTTTGTCACTCCGCTTTTTTATGTGTCCATGGTTTTCTGGACAAATGTTTTTATACTGGAAAAAACAGACCGTTATAAGAAAAACATCTGTAAACAGTAAGCATTATCAACGTCAAGAAGTCAACAACATCATCAACTTAACGCACCCGCTACTCTGATAGCGCTTATAACTGTGTGGACTTATCCTGGGCGTACTTTGTGAATTCTAGGGTGATAAAAGAACAGAAACGCCCACCCTCACGAGTCAGTTTACCCTGTAAGAAGCCCTATGATTGTATAATATGGTGAAAATACTATGTTTGAGTTGACAAAAAATATAAATCAAGAGAAATGGCCTACGAGCTCTCCACGGTTTTACCACTTCCTTATTTTCCACATTTCAGGTTAACTATATTCTAATTGGCATGGTGGCAACGTTCATTTGCTGTTGGTTACCGTTGACGGCAGTCAATCTAGTCAAAGATTACAGTATGTTCATATTCAGAGTTAATTATTTTTTTTTGATGCTGGTTCTTCCAACATGAAAGATTTCCAAAGTAGGCTTGTAACAGTTTAATTATGCCTTGTAAATTTGTGAAGCACACCATCAGGGATACGCTCTGCATTGTATTCGAGATCGTGCTCGAAGGTTCGGTGGTCGAGAAGAGATATAAAGAATAAACTCACCCGGTCTCCCGGTTTCCACGCGATATAGTTCATATTATTGCTTAGTGGTAGCAGTAGTGGATTATTGCCTCACTTATCGACAGAAAACTACACGCTCGATTAGCACTCGATTTGCATTCGGGACAAAAACCTTTTCCATTATTCCGCTTTGGTTCGGGATCCTCCATTTCTTTTTTAGGTTAGGCCTTCGGAATGCATTTCTGAATGATGCTACATATTCATTAACATAGCGTATAGCAGTGGATTAAAGGCTTCCGATGACGAAAGGGCTCGTTAGGGCTGAAAATGGAGATCCACATTCCGACCTTCTACACATTAGAGGGGAGGGTTTATGGACTAGCGTTTGCATCGGTATTATCGGACATAGTCTAGTAATTTTTCTCTCTTCAATTGGCTAGGCATCAGCGCTGTGCGTTCCTTCAGCGGAGGAGTGGAAGAAGTTCATAGTGAAGGTTTTGGAGAAGGTGGTAATGGGTAAAAAAACGTCCTAAATATCTCGCTCTGTCCTGTTGCGAGTTTTTCTTCACAGCAAGTACCTCTCATTATTAAAATGTGGACAATGCTATCAAAAATCGCCGATTATCTCTGACACAGACCGACAGAGTTGCAGTGATAAGAACGAGGTCAAAGAAGAGGAAAATTGCATAGTTGGGAGACAGGCGGACCTCCTGAGGGTGCTGACCGACGCGCAATTGGCAGCGAAAGATTTGACCTCGGCGATCTAGCATGGCTCACTCTTGGCGCGGTTGGCGGGGTACGCCCACCGACTATAGGTACGAGTGATTATTACATAGCAGAGAGAGAGCGTAGTGTTGAAGAGGGCACAGCGATGAGAGTCGCATCATGCGCAAATCAGCGGCAAGAAGTGGTCCATTTCTCGGGTTTTGGGCTCCTTTTGAATGACTTTCTTCCTTCATCCTTGCTCCACTGACCACCTCAACGTATTTCCAGCAAGCTAACTCTTTCATCATAAATTCTGCCTTCAAGTCTAGCGTTAGCGATAAATCCGTCTGGGAAATCTGGGAAAATGTCTAGTGATTTGGGTCAGAGGTCTTCACAATGAGACGGTGAGGAGCGATCTCGCTTCCGGTCCCATATGCCATTTTCTCCATATCGTAGTGCGAGATTATGAGATCATAAAAAGCATAACAACCACCCACTAGGCCTTTCCAGAGGTTCTGTTGGCCTTAGAACTCGACAAATTACGGGAACTTTGCTCATTTTTTGAATTCTAAATTTGTTCGATGAATGCTTGCTGCAGCCGTAATTGACATGGAAAAATGGTTGCGCTTGAATGACGTTCGCTTGGGAGAGCAGTTCCACAGAGGAAAGCTGAGGGAGGTGGGGGTTGCACATGGGTACAAAGGGAAAGCAGCGTCAACCACCCTAAGACCCGTTATTTCTGCATTACGGCAAAGTGAAGGTTGTTTCGATTTTGTATTTCTTACCGCCGTCTTGAGAACTCTTTTGGAGTTTCGTGTGTGCTTGCGGAAAGCAAGCGATCTGCACCATGAGCGTGGTAATTCAATTTTACGGTACAATTTGAAAATAAAGGCCGGAATATGTCGTCGATGAGGCTGAACACATTCGCAAGCTGAAAAGTCGTCACTCGAACTTTATTCAGTAGAAATTCTCCAATGCTAACGTGAAAATAAGAACGGAAACCCTTCTTCAGACGAATTCTCCGGAACGGCAGGAAGGCGGCTTCTCTTCGGAGAAGCGCCCTAAATAAGCCTCCGTTCAGCGTCTTTGATTCATATTCTATCAACCTGAGCAACGCAGGACCGTAACTATATGCGTGGCGTGCACAAAGCTCTCACTATACTCATGAATTTCTCATTGAATCGAAATAGAGAAGGAAAAATAAAAACGCGGATGCTCCATAAAAGTACTGGACGAACAAAGCTTTGCCCCACGCAGGATTCCATCCCGCATCTCTCGCTTACCCGGCAAATGCGCTTCGACTTGACCCTACCGGAGCACCATTTCGGAGAGCAAAGCTATTGATCTATGGCTTCTTCACTCACAATATATAAATAAATAAAACTTAGACAGACAAAGAAAAATGGAAATAATTGAATTATGAAGGAGAGAAAAAGTGAGTGATCATCCCAGTTTGTTGCTACAACAAGCAGTTATGCACAAAGTAAATGATGTTCAGAGACAATCTCTAGTTCCTGTGGATAGTCGTCAAATAACAATACACCATTTGCAGAAATCGAGCCGGCCTTCCTGCGAGCGCAACCGTTTCTTTGGCCACTGATGGCGCACGTTATTGCCATGTCGTTAGTGGTGTGGAATCCGGTGTTGTTCTTCTGGTTGACGCGAAAACAGAAACGCTCTGGTTTGAGCAAGATCATCAATTCTTCTGAGGTTAGCCTCCCTTTCTCGCCGTATTCGCTGTGTGTAGTGATTTAAACAAATTGACCACCGGTTTTCGGGCTTTTCAGTCCATTTTTTCATCACTACATTTCTTTTTTCCGTTTACACTGATTTCGCTTACCTTACAACTACGTTAGTATCGTTGCCCAGTAAAATAGTCTTCCCTAGTGCAATTTTGGACATTGCCTGCTATTGAGAAATAGTCAACAGGTCATGTTGGACAGTGGACCTGGGTCACAGGCACGTTTTGCTACCGATCAAGAGGTAGCGAAACGTGCCTTTTTTGCATATGAAAAACATTTTTGGTTGTTTATGCACTAGCCACGGAAGGACATCACAAAATACTGCTAAGAATCTCAAAAATCGCATCGCCTACTGCTCATTTGGGTGGGGTCTGCCCCGTGTTAACGGCTATTTCAGTGATTGGCTTGACCTCGGATTTCATCTTCATTGAGGAATCTGTAAGATCAAAGGTAGATGTGGCGTGATGAACAAACCCCATTTTCCGTGTAAGGTCTATCCTTTCGGAAATTCCACACCTGCTGATCCCTACATAGGACCCCATCCCCCATTAAGGTTTCTTTTTATAAGGAATTCCTGCGGCCACACACGTGGTGGATGCTCAGAACCACACTAGCCGTTACGCACCACATGAAATGGACAGCCACGGCTGTCGACAAATGTTGAAACAAGGACATTCTTGTTACACTGATTGTCAATGTTTAAAGAAAGCATAAAGTTTAATTGTGTAAAAAAAAAACGGAAAAAATCCCTAGGACACCTTGACGTGCATCAGCACTACCCAATCTGTTTTTTCATTTCTGTATTTGCAGAAAGATGCGGCTCAGATACAGGTGAACACGGTAAAATACGTCATATTGTCGCAAAAAACACAGTAGTAGCTCTAGAGATTCAGTGAAAAACACCACAGTCGTTATGCATGGTCATCGAATTTTTTCACGATATAATAACCCCGATGTACCGTATCCCCTAGCTCAGTTGTGTTGTGCGCACAATTGTCAGATTCAATCGCACCATCTACTAACCTCACACTGTATCAAAATTATAACTAGGATTATTTCACATTTGTAATTAAATATTAATCTACGTCGTTTAAGGTTGTGTCATCGTTTGCAAGCCGACTCGGCCACAGTATACGGCGTATGTCTGGACGAAACGACAGCAAAACTGATAAGTATGTTTTTGAATTGCGGGGTTTCAAGCTAGAGCACGAAAATTACATTAAGTTTCGATAAGTTCTCGGAGGTTCGACAAGGTTGTCTGCCAAGAGAGGTTTTAGGCAGCTCTGAAGGTGCAGAGAGCTTATAACTTTATGATTACCAGCGGCAATCAACTCTCCTTAAATCTCCCCGCAGCACCCTTCCAAGGTTCGCTTATCCTTTCAGCCTTCCTCGTTTGCCTCTGCGAAAATCATTCATAGGGCCACTAATGAAGGTCTAATGCACGGCACCATCCAGCAGGAGTCAATCGATGCCGACTTTCTCCTCTGCCTTTATGCCGTCTATCACAATGTCGGCATTTATACGGTACCTTTATGGGCGCTCATGTCGTTAGAGATAGTGGGAGGGAGGGGGGGGGGAGTGCACCCGACATGAGCGCTCATAAAAGTACTGATGGGACACGTTGTAGTGAGTGAGTCACTTACAGAACTTGAGAATGAGGCTTAAGGAGAAGAAGGAATTCTGGAGAAGGACGTGAACAACATTTGTCCTTTCTGGGGTTTTTCCACGCTCCTGTGCTTAGTCCATGGGTCACTTATCACCAGGTTTTGACGGGTTTTGAATGTCTTTCCTAAGGATAAGCGCCCCATACATATGGACGTAAGCAAACCAGCCCTTTTGGCGCTTCGGCTGGGACCGTATGCTGAATGTTGGGGAGGGGATGGAGTCCCCGACGGTGGACGGACCACTTCAACTCGGTCCTTAGAACCGCCACAATTTGGTGCTTACCTCAGAACTAAGCCTTAAAGAGAGGACGGGTCCGTCCCCTCTCCAAGGCTTAGTCCTGGGGTGAGCAAACCAGCCCTTCTGGCGGAGCTGCTGGACCAGCTGCACCACTTGCGTCAGTACTCTCCTATCGTACCAACCGAGTTGAAGTAAACCGTCGACCGTTGGGGACCCCATCCCCTCCCCAACATTCAGCATACGGTCCCAGCCGAAACGCCAAAAGGGCTGGTTTGCTTTACCTCGTGTTCTAACGCGGAATTGCTAGGCTTGGGATTTCCAAGAAAAATCGATGTTGATGGTACGAACAGCTTGTCGATCAGTCTGTGCAGGTGTTCATTACATAAACAAGTAGTTCTCGCCGGTGTCATTCATCTCGATGCAAGTGACTGATGGCTGACAACGGCCGAGAGCACATCAGAGCGTGGAACTCTGAGGCCTGTTCGAGTTTGTGGGGTTTTATCGATTGATGGTTCATGCTCAAATCCCTTACTCCAGTCCTCAACCACCCTCAAAACAAACAGCGACGACTTCAAGTTTGACCTACACACCAACTCCGCACTTTGTACTGTCCATGACCTTGGCCATGATGTAGTTTTCAATACCACAACATTCTTTTCAGCTGCACATTCTTCCAGGATGTAGGTGATATAGCGAACCCTATACCCTGGACTGACTTCTGAGAGTTTTCGAAGCCGCCTTTGACCATCTGGAATTGGTTAGTCGGCACCAGATTTTTTGGGATGATAAAACGTTGATATGTCTCCCAGTAAAGCTGATCATTTTGTGGGCGAGATCGCACCTAACTGTTCTCAAGCTACTCTAGTTACAAAGGACAGATGTAGTCAAAAGAGATAGAAGGAGAGCTGGCTCGCTCCGCCTATATCGACTTCCGGTAGACGGCTCTTGATGGCCACGTGAGTGAAATAGGGTTGACAATCCAATAACCCACTATGCGATCATGGAGCAATCTCTACTACGAATAAGGGT